TATTCATTTTCATGTGTTATTGAAAATCTGCAGTGATATTATTAAGAAATTTATTTATAACCAAATTTAGTGTATAGTATAGATTATACTAAAAATTAGACATTTTTAAAGATAAACATTAGCAGTTTTGTACATTAGACATCTTTTAAAGAAAAATCTTTTTAATATTCTTTTAAATCTTCTTAATAATCTTTTTAACATAAGACAATACAAATTTAAGTGCTTTCTGTTAAATACACAGAGTAGTTAGTGTCGATTTACAGTATATTCAGCCTATTCATTTACTATGCTGAAAATTTAGTTTATCCAAATACTTGTGAATTTCATTTTGCTGAATACTATATACATAGTTTTGTTGAATATCTAAATATTCAGCTGTTGAATAATTACTTCTTGCTTTCAAGATATGCATTATTTGTATTCTTAATACAAGTGGGGGAAAAAAATTAAGAGGTAAAAATTGTTTTAAAATGATAAGTGTAATAATTATAAATAAATATAATAAACAATATGAATTATATTTATCATTATTCACAAATATAACTACTTTTAAATTCAAATTAACATACTGGATAATAAAGATATTCGGTATAACATTAAAAAAAATTTTTTTTATACACTTGTATCTTATATCAAGTTTGTATTTATACAACATAACTTGTAAGTTCCTTATAAATATTAGTTATATGTTCCTTATATGTCAAAAATGCATAGTAATAAACTTTTAATTTTCTTAAGTATCAAAAAAAAAATTTTTTTTTTCAAAATATAAATATTTAAAAAAATTTTGTGCAAAATTTTTCTGCACATGCATTTGAATATAAATTTCTGAGATTTTAAATCTGTTATTTTACCTTAATTTTAATTAAAAAATATTTTAAAACCTGCTGATTACCTATAGTATAATTAAATTTCAATATAATGCATGGCAACTGTTGGTAGTTTTGAAGTTTATATATTTTTTTGGCAAACTTTAGTTTTTGACGGTTTAAACCAGTATTATAACCTTGTCATGTCAAAAACCACTTTTTGACGTCAAAAACCCAACCCTGCTTTGAGCACATGATGATCATGTGCGCATGAGAGGAAATTAGGTGATGGAATTAATAAATGTAATTGCAATTCCCAACAGCTATTGTTAAGTTTATGTTTTAAAAATCTTTTATATACATAACTTTTATCTTTATTCGGCATATTATGTATCATTTTACTTACTTCGTGTATTTTATATCATATTCATACCTTTTTATCTGATTTTATTTATACCTTTCATCTGATTTTATTCAGATCTTTTATCTGATTCTATCAACCAACTTATACCATTTCATCAGTTATAATTGTAAAACAATTAAAGTGTTGCATGTGTGTCTTTTGAACTGTTAACGTGGCGCAGCATGTCCTCTTTCGGACTTTGTGCCACTAAACCTTACATTCAATCCTATCCAATCGGCATATTATGATTATCTAAACATTATTTACCTTTAAATTTTCTGAATGTATAATAAAACACCTCCTCTCCTTCTCAATTTAAATTTTCGACAAAACATCTATCACATTTTAATAAATATTCATGCATATCTATTTTTATCATAACTAATTTGACAATAATCGCAATAATTTATTTTACTTAAAAACCCCTTTAATAGTAGTTATAACATCAAAATGGTTTTGATTTTTCAATATCTAAATGCAGGTATTTTTATACCATTCTACATTCTACTGCAAGTAATCTACTGCTGTCTAATAATACTCTTTTAGTGCTTCATGAAAATTTACTTGCCATTCTGACAAATCTCTGCAAGAAGTATACAAATTATCTTTTCTTTGTGTGAATTATAAAATTGATCTTAATAATATATTGCTCATTTTTTTTATTAGAAGACAAAAGTCTGTTTTATTAACAATTCTATTACAATACGAATACAAAATTTTGATCAACATCTTGAAATTTTTTAATCATAAGCATTGTTAATTTTTGGTATCTAGAAGCAACATGCAATACATTCATGAAATGTACTTATTAACACTTATCATATTGAGGAGTTTTTACATTTGAAATTCTTTAACTCTATGCATTAAAAAATCTTTTGATTTGTGTTCCATAATATACAAAAATAATCGATATGTTCTCTTTTAACAACATCTGTTTTGTTTAGAGAAACTTTTACATTTGATGTGATTTTATCTTTAGCATCAACATTATTTTTATATATTAAACTTTTATCTCTTAAGAGGATGCTATACCATGGACCACAAATTCTGCTTTAACTAATTTAAAATATAGAAAAAGTTGAGTTCAATCTAGAGTATGCCATGAAGTTTCAATTGCTGAAAAAATAAATCAAAATGCTAACAAATTATTGGAAGAGAACTGATCCTGAGTTATCCTCTCAGAATTTGTTTTCATTTTGGTATTTTGAAATTTTTGTTTCAGCATACGAAACTTTGTGGTTTACTCAAGGTTTGCCTGAACTCATACTTCAAGTTATTTATGGAGGAGAAAGAAAATGTGCAATAAAAAGTTTCTCCCATGGCATTCTCCTAATTCATCTACATATTTTGTAATTGGAACAAGTTCTTCTCTAGGGTTTCCTAAATTTTTTATATATTTTTGTTTTGCATTGAAAAATTTTTTACCCTGAATCAAACTGTTAAAGTTTCAACTTTTTCTTTTAGTTATCATCAGTCTAAATTTTAGTTGCAGAATCACTGTCCCCTTGAGGGTCTAACATATTTTTCAAATCTTATCTTTCCGTATCATAATTGTCATTATTCGTTAATTTAAATCCGGCAACTGGCTGTCATAAATACACAAGTGGGCGACCTTTGTGCTAAAATACAAACTAAGGTGAACAACGTTTAAGAGCACAAAAAAATATTTATAAATGCAGACAGCTGTTTCGGATGCTCAAAGGGCAACCTTCATCTGTTGCACTGATGAAGGCTGCCCTTTGAGCATCCGAAACAGCTGTCTGCATTTATAAATATTTTTTGTGCTCTTAAACGTTGTTCACCTTAGTTTGTAACTGGCTGTCATGGAATCCTTTCTTTTTTTTCATCATCTTCCAGTGGAGATATTATTAAAAAAATAAATTTTTATTTTTTTAAAGAAAGAAAAAACTTAGTTTTCAGAGTTTTTAGTCATTAGAATTTCTTGACTTTTCATATTTATTAAACAATGGTTTCTTTCTTTCAAAATAAATAATGTTTACTAGTACCTAGTACTATTATTTCTTAACCTCCAGTTAAATTAAATTCTTTAAACTAGTATAATTTTCATAGTTTACTGAATTGAAACAAAAAATAGAACACTGATGGAAATTGTAATTATAACAGAACTGTCATAAAGCCTGTTTCAGTATTTATGCTATTCATTGCTGCTTCTAAAAAAGCATAATATAATCACTTTTATTAAAATTAACCAACCTTTTTTCATATCTAAGTGATCAAACATTATTCATTTCTTTTGTTGTATGGAGGTATAGACTATCAAAACTTCATCAGATGTAACCGGAATAGGATAAGATGTCATTTCATTTGATTGATGTTGTAACGAACCCAACTGTTTTCAATAGTAGAAGATAATCTTAATGCAGTGAATCCTGCTGAATATTTAAATTTATCACTCTACCAAAGTGATAAAACTTCAGCAAGGACTTTAATAGGATGGAAAATATACTACTCGAGTTTTTAACCACTCTTTCACAGACAGCTGATCCTACTCTGTAACACTCAATTAATGCATTTTTGTTTTGAGTGTCTCCTAGGCAGACTCACCTCTCTGCAGATTTGATGATAGATGTAAAACTGTGGAGGAAAGAAGTACTGGATTTTGTATTCAGTATGAAATAACCATAAAAAGAGGCCCCAAAATGAACTAAACAGAGTGGAAATTGCATCCTGCTGCCTTTAACTATGATTTGTCATTGCTTACACTTTTTTCGTTTAAAATAATTAATTAAAAAAAAATCCAAGTTTGTCCTTTTTTTTTAATTAAAATGATAAATCCCAAATTGTTAGTTTTTCTGAAGAGTTCAAGTTTTGCGAAAAAGAGAAGAAAAAAAACCTAGGTGATTCTATACTTGGCATTTTAAGATCTTTAAAATTATTGTAATAAAGAGTGGGAAAATGAGCACTAAATGTGAAGGACAAATTATAAATAGAAAAATACGAGGGAAACTAGGAATAACTTTTTGAAGAAAAAAAAATATTGTGCTCTTAGATTTAGCGTAAAAATTTACTGAGCAAAAGTGGTCATTTATTAAAAAAGTTATTTGGGCAAAATTTGCATAAAAAGTGGGACTTGTTTATGTAACTTCTGGATTGTCTTGAGTGAATTTTCGCTTCCTGGATAATTTTAGAAACAACAAAATAAAATTTACTATATTACAAATTTTCAAATGAATGCTCTTATACTTTAGTGAGGCCTTTCTTTATAGATAATCTTTTTCATAATTACCTAATTAAATAATCCCAATTATCTGAAATGAAACATTTACTTCAAAAACTATAAAGGAGAGAAAAGTAGACATACTTTGAGTGCTCAAAAATAAGTTCCCAGTCTCGGAATTTGCCAGATTCAGTCATTTCATAGTGAAACACCACTGTTATAAAAATACTTTGTTCATAAAGTATAAATGATTCCATTTCTCTATAGATATTAGCAAAAAAAAATGCTTTTAACTTATGTTCTTACAGCTATGCATCTAACTTTGTAATCTGTTTGACTATAGTTTCAAGGGTAGCTTTAAGCAATGGGAAAAAATAGAATGTTTTCATATTCATTCCGTGATGTTAATAGAAGTCGTACTTTGTTATCGAGCATTTTTAATGATTCTATGGATTGATTTGAAACTATTATGAGTTGATGCTGGGAACTTCTTGACCAAATAATTATGAAATGTATTATTCTTTTATGATAAAATTTGCTTCTATTTACTTAAATAGAGCTAATTATGCTTAAAGCCTGGATTTGGTCTGAATGTAAAATATCATTGCAGGAGTATTTGCAGTACCAAAGGCAGTTGGCCATCCAGAGGATGCAAGAGCAGGAACGGGAAATGCAACTTCGCCAGGAGCAACAGAAGCAGCAGTACCAAGTGATGCCCCAAGCTGCCCCATATCCACAGCAACATGCATATGTTCCACCCTCTCAAAACTATGGAGTGCTCCCTCCTCCCAATGGCAATGATCCAAGTATGCAACAACAACAACCTTATCATCCTTCCTTCAATCCTCAAATGGCAGACTATCGACAACAACCCTACTCTATGCAAGGTAAATGATTTTACTAAACATTGAATTAGTATAAAGCCCTCACTCACTCAACATGTGATCTTTTTTTTTAGATAAGTAGGAAATCTAAAAAGGTTTCAGTAATTTTAATTACCCTAATTGAAAGACTAAGTAAAATCATAGGTAGAAGTTACAAATTTGGACCATGTATTCTTTATAAGATTAATAGAAAAACTAAAAAGTTTCATTTTGCCATTTAGTAATTATTGAAGTAATTACCCCTATTGAAAGTTAACATGAAATAAAAGTTAGATAAAAGTTTCACATTTAATTTCGACTCCTTATCAGATAAAGGGTAAAACTGAAAAAAAAAAAAAAAAACATTTCTTTTTGAAATTTTCTAATGATAGAGGTAATTAGCCTAATTAACAAACACAAGGTTTAGTTTACCTCAAAGATAGTAGTCTTAAAAGTTGACCACGTTTTCCATATCCATTAGAGGGTAAAACTTTGATATTTTCCAATTATTGGACCAATTAGCTGGTAATTAGTCTAGATGATGTTAATGATAAATTGTAAAATCTGTTCATTATAAAATAACAAAATAAACTAAGTCTTCATTTCAACTAAACTAAAAGCAAACTTTTGTAATTATCAGGGTAAGTGCATTTTTTCAGATAGTGAAACCAAGAAAACATTTAATCTTGTAAATAATTTTTTATATTTAAAAAATAATTTTATGTGGGTACATCCGAAATTTTTAATATATATGAGGGGAACTGGACTATCGCATTGATGTATGTCGTGTAACCAAGGTTCACACATAGAACATCTGTAATGTATGTAAGTAAAACTTTAATAGTTTCGGAATAATTTCATATGTTTCTTTTTTCATATTCGTCTTCTTTTTTTTACTATAACGCTTCGAAACCCCGGAGGGAATTATGAAAATCCCTGTATATATATACAGTAAAACTTGTGTAAGTTGACCACTTGTGGTGCATTGTTTTAGTGGTCAACTTAGACAAGTGGTCAACTTATAGAGGGGGTGGGTCATTGCTTACTTTTTCGTTTCCTATATAATGTTGCTATATATTTAAATTTTTTTTTTACTTGACTTAAAAATTTAATTCAGAAAATATGCAAATGAATATCCTAAGAAATGTGTTTAAACCTGAATGAACTTCAATTTGATACATATAATTCTAATATTTAACTAATTTTAAAAAAAAAATTTTTTTTCGTTAGTTATGCATGTGAAGTGTTTAATAAGTATAATTTCTTAAAATATCAGAACACGAAAACATGTAATTTGAAAACTTTAACAAAATAAAATTATTTGAACACTTTAAAATATATTTACTACACTTAAAGATCAAAGACCATAAATAAAGGATCAAAGCATATTTCAGAGCATTCATTTATTCAAATGCTCACTATTGCAACTGGAAGAGCAACTTTTCAACTAACACACCTGTTTTCAATGAACGGAGGAAAGAAATGGTCAATAGCTGACCCCTTACAGTTTCCCCTGATGGTCAACTCACAAAAGGGTTTAGATTAGCTTTTTACACTATTTCACCTAACAAGTGAAATTTTAACATACATTGCAAAAATGGCAGAAAATTTTCAGATTTTTTTTTCCTGGTCAACTTATGAGGGTTTTAGAATAGAATATCATAATACTCCTAGACAAAATTGACTTATTTCAGTGGTCAACATACAAGATAGACAGGTGGTCAAGCTACAAAGGTTTTGCTTCTTTATATTATATAGGAAAAATTCTGTTCTTGATAATTGAGGTCAACTTATGCAGGTGCCCAACTTACAAGGGTGGTCAACTTGGCAGATTTCACTGTATATATAAAGTTTAAAATATAGAGAAGACATGGAAAATATTAAAGGTTAAGGAAAAGAGAAGAAAAATTATGAAAATAAAATATTACTAAAAAGCCAGAAAACAAAATAATGAAAAGAGATCTCTTCATCAGCTCACACAATTATATCTACTAAAAGGAGTGCCTTCTATTATTGTACCCAAAGCAAAATATGTCAATACTATAGTGTGAGGAGTACTCAAAAAATTAAAACGAAAATAGAACACATTAAGTAAAAAATGTATCGAGCAAAAAACAGAAAATATAACGTAAAGAAAATACAGAACAAAACACAAAAAAATATTTATAAAGCGAGTAGCGAATTGAAATGAACTTATACGTACTGGAATCTTTCAAGAATGATTTAAAATATTTTCATAATACAGGGTTCCCACGGTCCTTAAAAGTCCTTAAAAACTACTTAATTTTTATTTTAGAAAATAAGGGCCCTTAAAAGTACTTAATTTTGGTTCAAGGTTTTTAAAAGTCTTTAATTTTTTAGCATCACTATGGTTGATAGCAAAAATTTTTCTGTTCAATTTTTTAAAACAAAATAAGAGTTCTTTTATCACTTAGAATTAGACCATGCATCGAGAGTAAAGCATTTTAGAGAGACAAAAATTAATGTGTATAGGGGGGGGGGNTTTTTTAATGGCTGGGTACAGACAAGGGAAGAAAACATGTCCTTTCGTTAATATATTGGTTATTTCCTTAATATATTCTGCCCTTTGCCTAGAATGATACTCTATGAGAACAGAGAAGCATTCTAAAAGAAAAGAATAGTGTGGACAAGGGGAATACTGCAAATGGAAGAGATATTGTTTTTTTTGGGGGGGGGGAGCAGTTTTAAGGACCCACACTAACCTTCAAAATTGACAGAATTCTGGAAATTCAGTTCTACTGGTTATGCATCTGCTTATAGGAATTAAGTAAAACGCTAAGAAAATCAAAAAGTATAGGAATTAAGTAAACACTAAGAAATATCAGGGAGAAAAAATTTTGAACAGGAATCTATAACGAAAACTATTTCCTAAAATCTCAAATTAAATAAATTTGTATAATATTTCAATATATAATAAGTAACTGCAGATTTATAGAAAGCATAACATTTTTTAAAATTCAGGATTGTATTAAAAATTAAGCAGATTTGTAAGAAACAGGGTTTGAAGAATCTTAGCCCACCTAGGTTTTTCATAAAGAACCTTGAGTTTATTGATGAAAACCAAGTGTTTTTTTCAAAAATACTTAATTTTTTTCCTGAGTACTAAATAAGAAAGCAGGATTTGCTTCTAACAAGAAAGTTAAATATTTGGTAACTATTTATAATTTGTTTTGTTGCAATATAATTTTTTTTTTTAAAGTTTTAGATTGTTACCCTATTATTATTTCTTAAGGATATGCAGATTTGCTTGGTAATTCTTTGGAAGGCCTGTTAATTAATGCAATTATATCAGTTCTTACATTATAATAATTATTTTTTTTTTTTTTACTTATTGATTTTTTTAAGAAGGTAAATAATTAAATAATTTGTACTGTCACTGGTGGCATATGCATATTCAATGATAAATATAAACAATCACACTATTTTCAGAAGTCCTTAATTTTTCAAAAAAGTCCTTAATTTCTTCAAGAAAAGGTCCTTAAAAGTGCTTAATTTTTGCTTTGTTGAAAGAGTGGGAACCCTGTAATAAGATTGCCAGATTACAAAATACGAATACAGAATCGCAAATGGAGTTAGATGCGTAATTAGAGAGATTTTTTACATTTCGTTCTTACTGCAGTACTGAAGCACGTTTGATTTGTTAGTTACCAGGGATTGGCCCGAAAATGGATGTGCGCAAGGTAGGAATATTATACTGGATAGTTTAAAGTTTATAATTCATAATGTAGATATTTAATTTTTCAATTTTAATGATTTTAGAAAATTAACGTTTATAAATATTTTAAAAAAAGAAGAAGAGAGAGAGAAACACAATTAGCCCAATTTGCAAGGATTTTTGGATTTGCACGTAGTAAAAATATAAATTAAGAAAAAAGTTTTTAGTAAATTTATTAATAATAACATACAATTAACTCAATGATTTTATATAGAGCTTAATTATACTTTATTATAGAGCTTAATTATACTTTAGTTGGGTTTACTAAACTTAAAAAATAAAAAATTACTAAACTTAACATTTTTACTATTTTTTAACTCCTTATTTAAAAGTTCAACATAGATTTTTTTACAGAAGATTGTATAATTATTGTTAGCTTTGTCTATGGTTTTAATTACAAAAATTTTTTATAGTTGCTTAATTGATTAAATAATTTTAGAAAAATCTGTTGAATTATTGCTGTTATTTTAATTTTCTTTATTATTAAAAACAAAATTTTAAAGTAATAATAAACAGCCCATTTCCATTCTGATTACATACCTAAAGGTAAAGAGAATCTATTTGATATCTTCAAACAAAAACAATTGAGATCATTAAGAAAATATTTTAGAATTTTATTAATTGATTTATGGTAAATGGTAATTTTGTACCTCATTTCTAAGTATTTCACAAGATTTAAATTACCAGTAATAATATGTTTATCAGCAAAATCAAAATACTTCTCTTCTTCACGGTGACACACACACACACACATATATATATATATATATATATATATAAAGAAGTATTAAATAAGATATTGCTTGACTTAATTTGATGCTAGTTTTAGAGCAGAGCAATTCCAAAGGATATTTTTTAAACTCCATAAACTGATTTTTTAGATGACACCCAGTGATAAAAAACATTATATTTGTTTCTTCTCTAATAATTTAATTATGCAGCTTGTAGATTTCATTAATAAATTATAATCTCATGTGAAGATAAATGCATGCATTCCTCAATATTTTTTGAGAAATATTAATTTTAAACCATTTAAATAATTTTATTTGGATCAAAATGGTTACATTTCTAAAATTTAAGTAGTTTCTGTTCAAATAATTTTTATCCTCATGTTTTTCTACAATATAAATGAAAGACAAATTATTGATCTATGTTAATTTAAAGGTTTATATATAGTATGTACTCATAAATGTAATCAAATGAGTTGATTTAAATAATTTACTATATAATTGTATTAATTTATTGTTATAATAATTAGCGTCTCTCCTTTATGTAAATACAATTGTAAATGCTATAATAATTAACTTCCACATTACACTGAAGATGTCATTAAATAATTTTGTTTTATTATATAAATAATACTTATTTAAGCAACTAAGATTCTTTTTTTTAAATGATTTAAAAACTAATGAGTTTTTTTTTATTATCATTGAGTAATGCCTGCAGAAAACAGAAAAGTATTCTGCTCCTGAAGCTCCATTTGAATTTCTGAAGGTTGTTGTTATGTTGCAATCAAACATTAATATAGACATTTTTTTTAACTAAAATATGTTTGGTATCTAAGAAGACTTTTTCTTTTACTATCATTTCAATCATAGGGAATGTGTGAGCTATTTTGGCTAGTATAATCTTTTTTAAATAATTTTACACATTGTTTATAGTCATGCTGAAAGCCAAATTTAAGTTTTCAGTATTTCAGAGATAGAAATAAATATTCAAGTTGTTAATGATATACCAAAGAAGAAATTTCATGAAATCCTTTATTATAAAGTTTTTATCCATCTCTTTTTCTTCTTTTTTTTTTATTATTTTTTTTTTAATGGCTGCAATTATAGTCTAGGCGTCTAGGTACAGTATAAGATCATTTACTTAAGATTATAAAAATGGTGTAGGGGCTGCAGTATAAGATCACTTACTGCGTCCCCAAGTTTAAACATCTAAAATCAAGTTTAAACGTCAAGTAGAAACAAAAAGCATGTTTTAAGATAGGCTGATTCCGTAACTGATACAAGGAAATGTGATTGATGAATGAACAACTTTTAATCATAAAGTTCTTTATACCACCATTAACTGAAGTCTGTGTCATTTCAGTCCCTGTGTCAATGCCTCCAGGAGCACCTTTTCCCCAACAGCCAGGAATTCCAACATCTGCTGCTCCCATGAGCCATCAGATGATGATGCCCCCACCCCAACATGTCCAAATGATGCCTCCTCAGCAGCAGCCTATGATGCAACAAAACCAACCCATGCTCCCAGATGCTTTACCTCACTCCCCACAACACCAGGAGCAACAGCAGCAACACTGTGATCCCCTTATTGTGTTTGACTGATCCTCAATTAAATTGCAATTTATTTCTTTTGAGTAAAATATGGCATTTTTATTTAAAAGAAGAAAAAATGTACATTGTATTTGATTGCTTCCTATTGTTAATTTTTCCTTCTTGATTTAGTGGATATAATTATCTATCTATATATAATATATATTTGTTATGAATAATTTTTGGTGTAGCTTCAATAAAATGCTCTTCTTTTAATTTCTTTTCTTGAATTTTTTTAACTATGAAAAAAACGGCCTTTTAAGTTTCTAAAAAGAAAAAGGTGTCTCATTGTGTGCACCTTTGAAGCATTGTAAAGCATGCAGGTGAGTAGGCAGATATTTAAAAGATGACAATCAAATGGTTATTGCTATCTGTGATTATCCTGTTCATTAAAATAGAATCACCCATGCAATTCATTGTGAAATCAGAAAAAAAAAATTTTTTTTTGATTTACAGGAATTTGAAAGAGTTGTTTTTAAATACACAGACAAATATCTGCATTAAGGAAAATTATGCAAAAAAATAAATAAGTATAGGCTTTTAAATGAAATGCTGCTCTTAAAAGTGAAATCCTAACATATTATTATTATTATAGTTGTTGAAAATTTTGCACTTGACTAAAATTAACAAAACTATTCCTGTTAACTTTAATTACAATTGTTACAAATGATCCCTTTGTCTTAGCAGACAATAAGAAGTGACTGATTCCTTATCTTAAATAAAATTTTAAAAAATTGCCGGGAAATTTGTAAAACATAATTTTTTAAAAAGGTGAATAACTTTTTTACCAATTCGCTACTAAACAAACAATTTTATTTCCCTCATCGTGGTACAGATAAGAATCAAATCATTATCCATATCTATTCTCTTGTACAATTTTTTTTCACTCCATTTGACTAATGGAGTGGCTTCGGAAGTGAGCTCGATGACTATTGCAGGAAAACCCACTTTTTTTAAAGGTGGGTTTCTTCAAAATCTAGTTCTAGATCAATAGATTCAGAAACAAAATAATTGTTAATTATTGTCATTTGAGATTGGGGCTCATAAAATCTTGTGAATATTTCTTAATTTGTATGAAATTTTTATCAATCAAATTTTCTTTACAAGTGCTCTTGATATAATATAAATTATAATTAAATCAATTTACTTTAATTATGAAAAATTATTTAGTTTTTTATGAAACAAAATTATTTATGGAGCTGGAAAAAGTTGAATTTTCCTAAACTCTAAGATATAATTTATATATTATTATGGAACATAAAAAACTGTATACTATTTTAAGAATATCTATAAAACTTATTATTATAAAATTTGTTATTGTTGCATTAAAATTAAGTTTATGGGTTTTTTTTCTGAATTGTGAAGTTAAATGCAGAAATTGAGACTCGCAATGTTATGTAAAAAAAAAAAAAAAAAGGNTTTTTTCAAAAGGTCATAAAATATAAGGGGGGGGGAGTTTTTATAAGAAACACAAATATTTTAGTGTATAGGGATGTACCAAATATTCAGTTGGACCAAGTAATTTCCCTTTCGATATTAATAAAATAGTTCATTTTTAAAGGAATATTAAAATAGTTAATGCTAAAAAGTTTAGCTGGAATTTTGTATAAGATTTTGCTTATGGGTATATCACACGATGAAAATTATCGGCAAGTAAACCGATAAGGCAATTGCTATCCTCTACTTGCTCGAAAATCCTCGTGTGATAAAGAAATCATGGCTGCCTGAAATATCAGCAACTGTTTCTCTCCGTTGAGAGAAAAATTGCCTTTAATTAAAAACAACTCACACTTGGACCAATCAGATTGTTTGCTTTTTATGGCGTTTCAATTTTATGTGATGTATGGTAATGTAAATAAAAATGGCGGTGATGTTGATGAAGAGGATGATTGGATAAAAAATTTTAGTACTGAAATTGAACAGTTTTTTTGTTTAATAATATTTCCTTTTAAATTACAGAATTAAAAATACTTTCACACGATGAGATGACCACCTTGTAGTTACCATTACCATAACAGCAACCAGCACACATCATTTTTGTTCAGTAAGCTATTTTGTACATAAATTTTCTTTTAAAATATTTATTTGTTTTAAACTAATAAAATTGAAACTTATTATAATTTTTTCCGATAAAAGTTTTGATTACTTTAAATAAATAATTTCGATTTTTATGTAAAGATTTCTACTGACGAAAAGCTTCATTGTGAAATATTCGCCAAGCAACTCACCAAACTTTGTTGCATTAGTATAACATAAAATATAATAATGGTTGTATTTCTTCATTTTTCAATTTAAATATTTATCTCTGTTGATTGTAAAAGCATGCAATCGATTATTTGAAAAAATTATTTTAATGTTTATTATTATTATTTTATACTTCCCTACGAATTCTTTTAATTTTTGAACCTTTCTTCTAAGAATTCTTTTAATATAAACCTCTATTCGTTCTTCATGAACTTGTATATCCTGACAAAAAAATAAATAAATAAACTATACCGAAAATACCGGTTTGGGAAAAAAAATCTGTAACTTTTCTAACATTACTAATTTTAGATTTGAAATACCCTTATCCGAATTCGGTAAGATCAAGCACTAAATGCAGCAAAAAATTTGGTCCCCAGTGTTATTCTTCTATTTTAAAAAAATGCGTAGTGGAGGTGTTAAGAACCGTAATCACTTTCCTAAATACTATGACGTGTTTCAATGAATCCTTATGCATTAAAATTTTTTAAAAAATATTTATAATTTTATTCGAATGAATATTTCATTACTTTAAATTGCCGTTTAACGGGCCCATTGAGTAGGCTGTTAAATTCATATAGTTACTTATGAGGTATTTTTTTGTGTACCTTTTTTTCAAGTGTTTTTTTTTTTTCATCCACCGTCAAAGCAACGGGAAGGACATACCTAATTATTAATTAATATCAATTTGTATAGTTTCAGTCTTTTCGGTGATACAATTCCTTTTATAATCATAGAATAAATTCGCAGTATTTCATACATTATATAATAATCAAACATGGAATACAAAAATATGAAAGGTTCAAAAGTTAAAAAATAAAATTGATGAAATTTTGCTTTTAAATAATGCTATTTTATAAAAAATGTATTAAGAAAAGAAGAAATAATCATTTAATCAAAAAATGGAAAGCAAAAATAGAAATTATCAATAAATAAAATATTCATTTGTGAAAATGCTGTTATCATGCACTATTCTGCGATTTCTGCCTATATAGTAAAAATTTGACTAACTGAACTCTTTTTTTTTTAGTATGCTACTATAATTGAAGTAAATAGTATTTTTATTAAAAAAAGTATTTAGCTATTTTAAACTAACAAGCCTAGCTCTCAAGGCAGTTTTTAGGGATAAATATATTTCTTCACCTGAAATAAATTACAAACTTACGACTCACCACAGCTCAATTTTTATTGATATTAATGTAATAATTGTATTTACTGCTTGTTCTATTGATTCCCATTTTGAATCACACCTTAACATTGCTCAGTTACATAGTATTATTTGGAAAAACACTCTAGTTTAAATTTTTTTTATTTATTTACAATCTGAATACCAGTTCAGCGCACGGGGTAGAAAATAGAAAAGTAAATAATCAATAAATCGATATTAATCAGCATGCACAAGCCTGTACCAAAGCAATTAATAAAGTTAAAATAATTAAATTTTGTTATTTCTTGGTCTTTTTAATGACTTCACGTTAGATTAAGAGAAACACATTTTTTGAGAAGTTCAATTAAACAAAATAAAGATTAACAAAACATAGCTGCCACTGATCAGGCCTTAGAGGAGATATAAGGGTAGAGAGAGCCAGTCTATTGTTTGGGCTCGGAAAACTTGTTCAAAGATGGGGGTTACCTTTTTGGCGGAAGATTTATAGCTGGCGGTCGCGCCGTACAGGAATATTTTTAAGATTTTTCTCTCTTTTTTTATTTTATTTTAAATGCTTTCCCAATTTTATTCGTGATTGTAAGAAATAAGTTTTCTAATAAAAATACATTATAATAAGTGCGCTACACTTAATTATTTGCTTTTAATTGCTGCATTGCTTTAATTGCTTTGCTTTTAATTGATTTTAAAGCTATTAACATATTAGTTAAGCATGATTTTACCAAACAATGAAATAAAAATAATGATTTTTTGAATCGAAGATGCATTTGAAAGTATGTAAAATATAAAGAAACAATTGCAAATGATTATATGTATTAATTATTTATTTTTTTCAAAAGGTCATAAAATATAAGAATCTTTTTCTATCAAATGAATCCGCATTAAAATGCTTAGAGCATAACACACTATTATTGGATGCTGTGAATTCTTCTCTGTGGACATTTACTTCCAATACTTTTCGTTTTATCTCATCTTTAGGAATTCTACGTATAAACAGTTAGCTATTAATACTGGGTGGTCTTAAAATTATTGTTAGACAAATAAAATAATAAAGAAACATGCTGAAAATTACGCAACAATTTTTTTCAAAATTAAATTGAAGTTGAAACTATTAACTGAAATGATTTGAAAAAAAAATCTCATAATACACTACACATTTAGTATCTGATTTTTAAAATGCAGAATATGTGTGAATAAAAAATTTTGCAAGTTTATATTTGAGTTAAATAATTACGTAAATTGTTACTAAAAACAAAGTAATTTAAAATAAAATGTGTGTCTTCTATTAGTACAAAGAAGAATTATTAATTCAGGTTCAGATCGATGGGTCAGCTTTTTCATGAAGTAAAGGAGGGCGGTACGCAATGCTAACCACATTGTCGCTATTATGACTGTTGATCATTAAATTGTGCTAGCTTAACCTTTGTGGCACTAAACGGGCTATTGTTCAATACCTCTGGGGGTACCGATCCAGGAGTTTCCTTGTCTTCTGCATTGTGTTCAAAATTACAAGGCTACGGAGTTGAACATTAGTAGACGTAAACCTAAAAATGGGGTCGGNGGGTAGGCTGTTCAACGGCGGTCATAAAATAAAATAAAATAAAAAACGGGCTATTGTGGGAAAGCTTTGCTTTACTTATCTTTTATTTTTTCTTAATTTTTATTTATTATAAAAATATTTAGTTAAATTTTTGAAACATATTACCCTAACATTTATACATACTTTAAAATGAAAGCCTTTTATAATTAATTTTAATCAATGCTTAATTTTTCTTATTTAGATCACATATATTAATTAAAATAATTTAAC